TATGCTCCTTATCCATGCAAAAGGAATGAATATAAGATAGGGGATTCACTGTTTGCGACATCCAACACCGAATGATAGAAGGGAGAAGATTATATAACAATCCCTCAAAATGATGTAGGGAAATATGTCCAATGCATTTTGAGCTTACAACGGAAAAAGGCACTTGTTTCACAGCTGTATTTTCAGCAATTAGAGTTATCAAGGATTCCATTTGCCCTATATCTTTTTCAATTAGGTCTATCTTTGAACAGCCAGAGAGAATGAGAGTTTTTAAAGATTTCAACCTATATATTTCTTCTGGGAGATTGTTTAGACTTGTACAATCCTTCACATTTAGAAGTGTAAGATTGCAGAGGCATCCAATAGATTGGTGTACTTGACGCAATCTTCGGCAATCTTTGAGAATGAGCTGTTCAAGACTTGGTAGTCTAGAAAAGTCAGGGGTTTCTGTCAAGTACATGGAGTGACTGAGATTAAGGACTTTTAGGGACACCAAAACCTTCAAGAAGATAGTTTTTTGATAAAATGTTAGAAAAGAAAATGATGAAATAAAATAGTTATAAGTGGAAACAAGTATTATATATGATTTTAGTTAAGTTTCAAAAGAAAATGGCGCTTAATAAAAACCTGAGGTTCCATCCAGAAGAATCGAAGAAGATTGTATTTTAAATCAATCACCATAGCATCATGCAGATAAAGTTCGTTAGGTAGGTATTCTGTAGGAAACCCTTGCCTACTGATCCATTTCAGTTTCTTAGGATGGAACTCAGAATCTCTAGTGATTTTCACCAATGTTAATGGGCCACTTATCTCTAAAGGAGGATAACGTTCAAATAAATCCTCTTCCATAGGCCATCTGTGAATGATTTTGTTCTCCCTTGATGAAAAGAGCTAAGAAAAAATAATATATTCGACATGAGAAAGCAATCACTTTCAAAAGAAGTTTCAAAACCTTAGATTAAGAATGTTCTTACAGTATTCTCTAATAGTGCGTGATGCATATCCTTATCAAGCCACAGCCGATTCTTATTTCGAGGTTCCTTTCTTGAAATTTCAAGAATAACTTCTCTTCCCATTTTTCGTAGCAGAGGATGCACTCCAAATTTATTGTTCTTTTTAACTTTGATGAAGTTACGTTCTATGAGAACTCTTATTGCACTATCAGCGTCTACTCCACAGCCATTTAGAATCTTCCGAACATAAGCTTTGCCTTTACCAACAAAGAAACAGCATACATCAAGGAATAAATCTTTTTCCATTTGATTATGCAAACTGTCGAAGCTTACTTTCAATTTTTGTAGAACTTCATGTGGGGGAATATTGTCTAATTTTGACACTACACTCTTCCATTCTTCTTTCGTCCTTTCAAATAAACTACTTCCAATGACTTCAAGAGCTAGAGGTAGTCCTCCACATCTAGAAACTACTCTTTTTGCAAGGTCAATGTATTCTGCTTTTGGTTTTGCTTCTCTAAATGCGTGCCAACTAAGAAGTTCAAGGGACTTGTTTTCATTCATTGGATCTATCCGATAAACTGAACGAACTTCATGTTTCCTTAGCAGCCTTTCATCTCTTGTTGTAATGATTATTACTGTTCCTTCACCGAACCATGCCCTACTTTCCCATAGGTCTAATGGACAATGTTCATTCACATCGTCAAGTACAATGAGCACCCTTTTCCGATAAAGTCTTTCCAGAATCATACTTCTTCCCATTTCAACGTTATGTATCTCTACCTTTGTTTTCAGGACATCTGAAAGAAGCTGTCGTTGTAAATGTACATCCCCTCTCGTCCGACTAACTTCTAAAATATCTTCAATAAAACTTTTCTCCACAAATGTACCATGAATTTGACTGTAGATGGCTTTGGCAAGGGTGGTTTTACCCGATCCTCCCATTCCACATATCCCTATCCTACAAAGTCCCGTTGATTTATCTTTTATAATTTGAATCACTTCTTCCGCGAGAGAATGTAATTCAACTGGAAATTTTGTAGCAGACAAGACTGGTAAATTAATAATGCTCTTAACAATTGTGTCCACTAGTTCAGCATCACTCCTTCAAGTGCAATAGCAATTAATGAGGAAGTCATGTATTACCTAAATTCAAACAAAAGCTTAAAATATGCTTATTGAGTGAGCGATTTACCTGTAATTGCAATCATCCCATCCAAAGAAATTTGCAGCTTTTGTGATTGCGTGACTCCACCTGAACATGCCATGCTCCAGTTCTTGTGCTGAAAATGTTTGATGTGCAGTTTCTCTGAAGGCTTTCCCAAAGTCACCCTTCTGGAGACGTACATCGGATGGCTGAATTTCGTAATATACGGGCAAAACATGTCGGCCGTAAGTTTCGTGCCATTCAATGATTTGTTGGAGCTGATGAAGACAGCAAGCAGATTGAGAATAGGTTTCGGTAAAAACAACAATTGCTACCCGACAAAGATTCAGAATAGGCTCTTGGATGTGTTTTGGCTGCACTGCATTGTCGTGCTGAAGGAAAGTAGTTAATCCAACAGAAGAGAGGACATAATCGAGATGAGAAACAAATTTCCTACGGATATCTTCTCCGGTGAAGTTGATGAGAACGTCGTACATCCGTGGGAGTTTGGAAGTCGATGAGACAAGTTCCATGGAAGGAATTGATAACGTCATGAAGTGTTGGAAGAGAAAGCAAATAATGCAACACAGTGAAGAGTTGACCACTGTACAGACACAAAAGCATTCAAAGTTGACAAAGCTTAATATATATTTTATAGTAGACCATTAGCCATTTAAGAAAGTAGACCAACAGCGACTTTGAACTACAGAATAAAAGTATTACACTAATATATAAGTATTAAATTTTTTCCGTTCTTCGAAATTTACATGTTAACTTTACTTTTTATTTTAAAAGCATTACATTGTCTCTTTTTATGTTGGGCACGTATCTCTTTAAATTTTAAAAGAATAACAAAACATTTTATTTTAACATTAACTTATATCTAAAGAGGCCACTCTGATAATGAAAAAAAAATTAGAAAGTATAAATACAATTTAGGTAAGAGAAACGTCACACACACATGAAATTATTTTTAAAATAAATAAAATAAAAGAATTAGATGTCACTTTATTAAAATTTAGGAAGTTGACTATCATTTTATAAAAGTAAAAAGAAGTGTCATTCGTTTTATTAGAAACGCAAAGTAAATGTNCCAAAGCTTAATATATATTTTATAGTAGACCATTAGCCATTTAAGAAAGTAGACCAACAGCGACTTTGAACTACAGAATAAAAGTATTACACTAATATATAAGTATTAAATTTTTTCCGTTCTTCGAAATTTACATGTTAACTTTACTTTTTATTTTAAAAGCATTACATTGTCTCTTTTTATGTTGGGCACGTATCTCTTTAAATTTTAAAAGAATAACAAAACATTTTATTTTAACATTAACTTATATCTAAAGAGGCCACTCTGATAATGAAAAAAAATTTAGAAAGTATAAATACAATTTAGGTAAGAGAAACGTCACACACACATGAAATTATTTTTAAAATAAATAAAATAAAAGAATTAGATGTCACTTTATTAAAATTTAGGAAGTTAACTATCATTTTATAAAAGAAAAAAGAAGTGTCATTCGTTTTATTAGAAACGCAAAGTAAATGTAATTTCCAGTTTTATTTGGAATACAAAATTATATGATAGACACTTTTATAACATTATTTTGATATCATTTTGTTGCAATTATTAAAAGAAAATAAAAGAAACCGTAATATCAATATATGAGAATGAAGACTGAAATTATGTCTAAAACAAAAGAAATTAGAAAAAGAAAACATTCGATTTGGAATGGGGATGTCAAAAATATCCTTTTGGATATTCATAAAATCTGGAGGGATAGTAAGGAGATACTGTGGATAATGAGTAGCAAGTAATTTAATATCAGTTTATAAATAAGTTGGTCCGTTATCACAAAATATTAAAATAAAATTTACTTTATATTTTATTAGATTAAATTTAATGAAAATTAAAATTTAATTTATAATTAATTTAATTTACATATATTTTATATTCTTTTTGTAATTTTATTTTTTATCTTAAAAATCTATAAATTATTTTTTTTAGATATTGGCAGGTATCGATAGTTATGAGTTTTTTAAAACTCGTGAGTATTTTTTAAACGGGACAGGTAGCAGGTTGAATTTTTTGTTATGGGTCAGATAGCAGGTAGGCATTATCCATATCCAACCCGTTACCGATTTGACAATCAAACCCTTAAACTAGAGCTCTGGTAACAAAATGATGAAAACCCTATTTGAACAAAGGCTCAGTTAGGATCTTTAGAATTAAAACCTTATGGGAAATTTAGAAAATTAGTGGCGATGTGGATTGAAAAGTGTTGAAAAATTCAAAGTTAGGAAAATTGTTAGAAACATCGATATCTTGAGGTATATAATTTATATTAAGGTGATTCCAAATCAAGATGAAAGTGCTCATTTTGAACGTCAATTTAGGCTAAAATATCACTCAATTTTGGTGAATAGAAATTGAATTATGACCACAAGATGAATCTAGACAGAACATTTTATGAATTCTGGTGAAGAAAGAACATGATATGGACATGAAAAGTGGAAGGAAATAATCACTCTTTCAAAGAGAGACAACTCAAAAAGGATGTCAAAGTTCGTTGGTACAGCCAAAGGATTCTTGAATCACTTAAAAACTTAAAAGAATCACTCTTACTAAGATAAAAGAGTTACACTCTAATATTTCTGAATGAAACTCATATAGTTTCCTTGATAAAAAAAATTTGCATCATAATTAGAAAGATTCAATAAAGGAAAATACATTTCACTTAAGTTAATAATTACAAAGATTCAATAAAGAAAAATACAATGATCCATTAATTATCACTTCCCATTAGAAACCTACATTTTTCTTGTGCACTTTTTTGAACGGTGTTGCCAATGTGCTAAAATTCTTCACAAATCTCGTATAGAAACTTATTAAGTCGTGGAAAGTTCTCACTTCAGTCATGGAGTTAGGTATAGGCCCTTTTTTAATAGTCTGAACCTTTTCCTCATCCACTTGTGTTCCTTTTGAAGAAAAAAAAACGTAACATGGTTAGTACATTTACAAAAGATGTTTTTTTCAAGATTGACATACAATTGTTCTTCTCTAAGCTCACACAAGATAGATTTTAAATGATCATGCAATTGAAGTGAAGTGCTATGGATAAAAACATCATCAAAGTACACACAACAAATTTTTCTACGAAATCTCTCAATACATACATGATTCATTAATCTCAAGAAAGTTCTAAGCATTACTTAAACCAAAAGACATAACCAACCATTCATAGAAACCATATTTGGTTTACTGACTGATTTTGAATTTTTTTAAGGTAAAATAACGGCTGTTGCTATTGAATCTTAAATCACGTTTGTTAGACATATGCTTACAACCTTTGCCTAGAAGCCCTAGACGTTCATTTCCTTCAAAAGTTATGTTTAACACTTTGTGCAAACAAGTGTAGAAGAAAAAACGTGGACATCAATTCATGAAGTTGTGTGGGTGAGCAATTTACAAGAAAACAATTTTCATAAATAACTACTAAAAGGAGAATACAACAAAAAAATCAAGGACAACAAAAGAGGCATAACGGTTAGAGTGAGAAACAGGGGAAAATAAACATGAATTTTCCCACTATAAGGTACTCAAAATCCAAAGAATTTGAATACAATCAAGGACACTACGATTTAATTCCAGAGCACAAGGGATTGAGAATTGTTCCCATAAAAGGGATATGAATATGACTTACCAGTCACACATTGCAAATTTCTTGAAGAATCTAATGCATCCATTTCTGTTTGGCTTAGGATCAGACTTCATTTCCAAGACATTTGATTCGGAATTCATGGCCGCAATTTTGATAGCATTTGCTTCACAAGGCATCGGCTTACTTTCAATATCATTTGGTATACATATTGCCTTAATTTCGATATTATTTGATTCACAATGCGGCGGCTCAATTTCTACATCATTCGATTCACAATTCGTCGGCCCACTTTCTATATCGTTCGATTCACCATACATCAGATAGACAGCCGTTTTCTTGACCACCAAGTCATGACCAAAAGTCACAAAAATCTCCACCTTGTCTCCACCTGCCAAATGTGATATTATCACCTGCCAATCTTCATCATTAAATGAAATCACTGTTTCTTGCCTGTGTATCTGCAAGGTGCGCTTTGTGTAATTAGCAATTAAGACACTAGTAAGACATTCGGTGGGCTTGATTTCGGGGTTTGATAAATAAACAATACACAAAGTCATTCCCTTCATGCCACAGTCCTCCGGCACAGTGAAAAACACAGAATGTCCCTCACCTGTATGGGCCAACCAAAAAGGTTTATTGTCAATTGGAAGTGAAACTTCACAAGCCTCATTGGTTACCAATCCCTGTAACATGAGAAAACAATCTTAGTCATTATGCAATGGACTCCTAACCCTGCAATAATTCTTTTATCATTCCAAAATTACAAAATGAGCATTTCTAATAAAAATAGNTCCGGCACAGTGAAAAACACCGATTGTCCCTCACCTGTATGGGCCAACCAATAAGGTTTATTGTCAATTGGAAGTGAAACTTCACAAGCCTCATTGGTTACCAATCCCTGTAACATGAGAAAACAATCTTAGTCATTATGCAATGGACTCCTAACCCTGCAATAATTCTTTTATCATTCCAAAATTACAAAATGAGCATTTCTAATAAAAATAGAAATGAATTGTACAACTTTTTGGGGGAGGCAAATTATACTTTTAATTAAGCGGTTAATTGCCATATGGGAAGATTAAAAACTACAAGAGAAGGTGAATAATTCATGCTTTCATGTGTAAATAATGATGCATATAATGAGGATTTAAGGTTACATTAGTGATAGTTAATTACTTTTCTACATTTAAAATTTTGTAATGGCACTAAAGACCATTAGTGGGAATTAGTGTGAAATTTAGAGGAGCTTAATATGATGATGGTCTATAGTAACACATAATTTAACCTGTAGAAGGATGTGTATTAATAATGCAATGGCAGATATACTATGAATGCAGAAAATTCATCAAGCTTTAGTTTTAGTTCAGAGATATAAGAACCTAAATTTGATCTCTTTTCCCATAACTCCCATTTTCTCATCCCAAACTCATGACTAAGTTTTTGAAATATTGAATGATATTCATATATGAGACTCGTCTTTTAACAAATATTTTTCTATACACAGAAACCTGAAGATCGAATCCCTGATCACTTATTGCATAAATTAAAACTCAGTAATGATAACTAATTCATACAAATTTGGTTAATAGTTTAGTTCTGTATATATATCAACAGCAGATCAATATGAATCTATAATGCATTTCTGTTTATGTCTCAGGAGATCTTTCAACTTTCTTTTACGTTCAATGAGAATCTAACAAATACTCATTGAATTTTCTTTTAGACGCATCATAAGGATTATTTCAGGTTCTCTTAATTAGTAGCTAAAATTGACGGTATAGTAGAGAAAGGTAAAATCTAGAGAAGGAATTAACCTTAGATATTTTATCGTTGAGAATATCAAAGTGTGCTTTGTAACTTCCAACTCCAATCAAAGATGACCTCAAGTGATGCCTTGAAATTCCTAATTCTGCAACATTTATAACATGTTCAACCAGAAAGGTTTCTACAAGTTTAGATAGTTGAGACTCTGTCTCATATCGCAGCAAAACACTTCGAAGATATGGAAGGCTTCTAAGCATAGGTGCAAGTTCACCCAAAGTATTATTCTGTGTATTCATGGAAACCAGAGAACATGAAGTGCCAGAATACGGACGAATAAATAACAGGGGATTCATTGTTGGTGACATCCAAGACTGGATGATAGAAGGAAAAACATTTCGTGCCAGTCCTTCAAATCCGCATAAGGATATATATGCAATGCTTTTCGAGCTTACTATTGAAACGGGGACCTGTTTCACAGCAGTATTATCAGCAATTAGAGTTGTCAAGGATTCCATCTGTGCTATATCTTCTTCCAATTTGTCAATCTTTGAACAACCAGAAAGGATAAATGTTTTCACAGATTTCAACTTATATATCTCTTTGGGGAGATTGTTTAGGCTTGTACAATCCTTCAAATTTATCAATAAAATATTACAGAGATCACCAATGGATTTGTGTATCGCTAATAAACTTGGACAATCTTTGAGAATGAGCTGCTCAAGACTTGGTAGTCTAGAAAAGTCAGGGGTTTCTGTCAAGTACCTGGAGTGACTCAGATTAAGGACTTTTAGCCACTTCAAATCCTACAAGATTTTTTTTTTTTGACAAATATTAGAGAATAAAATAAAAAAATGAAATAGTAGCAAATAGAAACAATTACTATTTCTATTGTAATCAACCTATAACTTTTACAAGAAAAACATGTTATAAATACCTGGGATTGTTTCCAGACGAATCGAAGATGACTGTACTTTAAATCAATCGCAATTACATCATTCATACAAAAGCTGTTTGGCAGACAATTTGAAGGAAAGCCGTGCCAAGAGATCCATTTCAGTTGCTTAGAAAGGTACCCATAATTTCCATCAAGTTGTACATGATGGAGTTGCAACAGTCTCAATCTCTCCATTTTCTGGAAAGAATCGGCTTTGAAGCAATCTCTGATGGTTAAATGCATTTTCAAAACCAATCCCTCAATATCTTCTGTCCCCTGTGATGTAAAGAGCAGAGGGAAATAAATCGAGAAACGTTTTTTGTTGGCCCAGCTGAGCCTAACTACAGTTATATTGAACACGGCAAAGAAAACACTTTTAAAAGAAAATGAAAACCGTGCACAGGAAATGTACTTACAGTATTCTTTGTCAATACTTCAACTACTTCCTTTTGAAACCACAATCGACTGTGCTTCCCAGGTTCCTTTCTTGAGTTTTCACGAATTATCTCTCTTCCCATTTCTTGTAGCAAAGGATGCATTCCAAGTTTGTTGTTTTTTTCTACTTTTATGAGGCTACGTTCTATGAGAACCGGTATTCCAACGTCAGCACATAGTTCACAACCATTTAGTATTTCTGTGACATAACCTCTGTCTTTACCTATAAAGAAACAACATACATCAAGAAATATATCCTTCTCCATGTGATTGCTTAAACTATCAAAGCTTATTCTTAATTTCCGCTGAACCTCATCATTGGGAATTTTTTCTAGTATCGACAATACTCCTTCCCACACTTTCTTTGACGTCTTGTCAAATAAATAAGAACCAAGCACTTCAAGAGCCAGAGGTAGTCCTCCACAATAAGCAACAACGTTTCTTGAAAGCTCACTGAAGTCTTCTTTTGGTTTTGCATCTCCAAAACAATGAAAACTGAAAAGCTGAAGCGACTCGTCTTCATCCATTTTATCCATCCCATAAATATAATCAACATCAAGTCTAGTAAGGAGACCAACATCTCTAGTTGTAATGATTATTACACTTCCTTGACCAATCCACTTACGATTTCCACAGACAGCTTTTAATTGGTTGTACTCATTCACATCATCAAGTACAATAAGTGCGGTTTTTCCATCAAGTCTGCTCTCGATCATAGTCGTCCCCATCCCAACGCTATGTATCTCCACCTTCGTTTTCAGAACATTTGAAAGAAGCTGTTCTTGCAAAGGAACATACCCTCTACCATGATTTTCACAAGTTTCTCTAATATTCTCAATGAAACTTTTATCCATGAATCTACGATGAATCTGATTGTAGACAGCTTTTGCAACGGTAGTTTTCCCCGATCCCCCCATACCCCAAATCCCTATCATACAGACTTGGGTGGAACGAGTTTCAATGAGTCCAATCACGTCTTGCGCACGGGATTCTAGTCCAACAGGGTATTCTGTAATAGACAAGACTTCGTAGTCCAGTAACTTCTGAACGCGGTCAACAATTTGTCTTACTAGTTCAGCTTCATTCCTTCAAGTTCAACAACAATTATAAAACACTCACTAACATATCCTTCATTCAGTCTCAAACCAAAGAAATTACGAAGGAGTCATTGGTTTACCTGAAATTTTTGACATCCCAACCAGAGATACCTGCAGCTTTGTTGAGTGCACGGCTCCACCGGGACAAGGCACGCTCCAGTTGTTCTCCTGAATAGGTTCTGCGTGCAGCTTCTTCCAACGATTTTCCAAAATCACCTTTCTGATGACGTACATCGGATGGGTCAATCTCGTAAAATACAGGGAGAACACTCTGGCCCTGGGTTTGGTTGCATTTGATGATTTGTTCAAGCTCATCAAGGCACCAAGTTGATTCAGTGTAGGTTTGGGAGAAAACAACGATCGCTATCTGAGATCCTTCTACTGCTCGCATGAGTTCTTGAAGCTGCATTCCTTTGACAAGATTCTCCTCGTCAAAGAAGGTGTTGACTCCAGCGTTTGAGAGAGCATAGTGGAGATGAGAAACGAACTTCCTGCGGGTGTCTTCTCCCCTGAAGTTGATGAACACGTCGTGAATCCGTTGGTGTTTCGCTTTCGAGAACGACGGCGAAGATGTGAAGTCCATCACACCAGTTCAGGTCAACCGTTGGAGAAGGGAACCCAATAATGCAGAAATGCTGAGAGAAGACCCAGAACTTTTTAGTCTTCTGAATGAATAGCTAAAATAGAATTTGGACAATTCTCTTTATGATATGATTAGAATAGTAGAAAGAACTCTGACGTGAAAATACGAATACATTAGAAATAAAAATGAATATTTTATTATTTGATAGAGTAGAAATAAAAAATATAAAAAAAAGTTGTGATATAATAGAAAATAAATAATTTAAATTGTATTTTATCTTTTACATGATTTTATATACTATAAAATATAAGGTTAGAATGGTCATTTCACATTTTAACTTATTGTATTTATCATATTCCATATCCTCCATCCTTCTATCAAACTAAGAGGTTTAATTTCCTTCATGTATACTTCATCAATAATCCCTAACTAACTCAAGTTAAGTTTACAAAATTTGAAGTTTTTTTGTATTAAATTAACTTGATACTTCCAATGATTTATCGTACTCGCTTTTGTTTTTTTGTTTTTTTTTTGAACTGGTATTGTCAATGTAATTGACTTCACGTATAATAAGTTATAAAAACGACCTATACAATCTTATACCAATCAATATCAAAACAATTTAAATTTAAAATATAAATTACACATTAAAAATAAATAAGTAATAGAAATAGTTTTAGTAAATTAAAAGTACGATGAAACGAGTGTAGGCACTAATTGATCAAGAAATAATTTAAAATGATAACCATCCTTTTTATTTACGAGAGTGTAAAATGTATTAAAATTAAAAAAGTTATTTATGATGGACAAAGAATTGTAGAACAAAGGCCTCCTCATATCTAAAGCTCTGCTACTGAGAGTAGGTATGCTGATTCATATATATTTAAGTCGTCAAAATTTATCCAATTTAAAAGGAGTGTGACAAATATTTTAAAAATGAAGAGGATTGGATTTAACAATTGTTTAGTGTATGTGTGGTTAATGGTAAATATACACTAATTAATATATATATATATATATATATATATATATATAT